CATGACCTGGGGCCAAGGCAGCTGATGCTCTCCCAGCCCCAGGATGCCCATTTAACACAGGGTTTTCACTTCTCCTTGAAAGGCACTTGGGGGGAGAATGGAGAGGAAGCATCGAGCCAATTGTGTGAAATTGCTCTCGAATATCTCTGCCAGGAAAAGCCGACAAGTCAAAAAGAGAGGTCCTGAGTGCTTAGCACTCTATGCGTTTGAATTTAAAGATGAGGAGGGATTGGATGATTTCGAAGATTTAAGAACAAACCGGAAACCAGGGCAGGGACTCCTCCAGGACTCACTGGCACCCTCTGTGAACAAGGGCCCATGCCTTCACCAGGACTTCATGTCTCAGAGTCCTCTTCCAGAAAGAGGTGGGATGGAGGACTCTCTTTGTAAACCTAGTGAGACTTAGAGCAGGCTACCTAGCTCAGAGAAATAGCGCCGGCTGCCAAAAGGCAGGGAGCACCCTCCTACGAGGACTGGTGCAGACAATGGCTTGTAGCCCCGCTGGGAGTAGGTAGGCAGAATTCAAGGAAATACAGTCCTCAGCAGAGGCCAAGCAGGGAGGAGAGCGCGCCCAGGCCCAGGAGGAAGAACCAGGTGAGGCCCTCGAGGCGCTGCCTGATGCTCTTGATGAAAAGCTCTTTCTATAGGGGTGCCTGGTCTCCCTTCCTACAAATCTGTGCTCAGCCCTACAAGGAGTCAGATTCAGGACCTGGACGCCCAGAGACATTTTTATGCTTAATCCATAAAGTAGTTGGGGGAGGGGGTTGGGAAGAAGGAAAGCAGTGGCCGGAAGAGATCCGAGCTGGTCAGGGCACAAGAGCTGTTCAGACCTTTAACCCTAGCGGCTGAGGCTTGGGTTTGGCTTCCTGTGGCACTGTGTGGATGGTGTTTGAACAAAGGAGAAAGAGCCCAGGCTTGAAATCAGGAAGCCTGCCTGGGGTTTTGGCTCTAGCTCCACTGAGCGATTTGCAGCCTGACTGTCAGAAAGCCTCAACCCTCTCTCTGCCTCTGTAAACTCTTGATTTATTTTGCACAGATATTACAAGAAGCCTTATACCCTCCCAGTGATCTAGTCTAAAGTGTGATCTGCACCACTTACATCAGAATCACTAAAAACAGATTCCCGGGCCCTACCCCAGACCAACTGAAACAAAAAATACCAGGGAAAGACTAAGAAACCTGCATTTAATAAACTCCCACATGATTCTTATGTACTGTCAAGATTTGAAAGTCACTGAGCAAGAGGATAGAGTCCAAACTCCTTAATACAATTCCATGGGCTTTACAGTCTGCCTTTGGGTCCCATTTTCAGCTTCTCAGTCTACACCACGAGCTGATATGTGAGTCCCCAAATCATAGGACAGGCACTGGGATAATATTACATACCTCTCAGGCATCTCAGAGCATCTCCACAAGCAAGTACTATTATCATGCCCATTTTACAGATGAGGACACTGAGGCTCAAAGAAGTCCAGTAACTTGGCCACGATCACACAGGAAGTATGTTGCAGGGTCAGATTTGAATTCCTATCTATGGGATTGATTGAAGAGTTTTTGTTCTTAACCAACTCTGTTACACCACATTCTGAGGTCCATTAAACGTGCCTGGGTATTTGTGCCTGAGTGCCCTGGTCAGCTGTCCCCTCAGCCTCACGTGCCTCATAACACCCTGATCCTTCGCAAAAATGGACTTCCAATGTCCTGGACCCAAAACTTCTCATGGATCCCACTAAAGAGCGTTAGCTATTTCCTCCTTATGCTCAGACATCCTTTTATTTATGTCTCCATTTCAACACTACTAAAACTGTACTGTGATTTTTTGTTTATTTTCCAATGTCTTTTACTAGGCTTTAAAAAACCCTAAGACATAAAGGATGTATAGAACCGTGACACTGCTCCTGATGATACCACAATGGTGGACGCATGTCCTTATACATTTGTCAAAACCCACAGAATGCACAATACCAAGAATGAGCCCTAGAGTAAGCTGTGGACTTTGAGTGACAATGATGTGTCAAGGTAGGTGCATTGAATATGTCAAATGTACCACTCTGGTGTGGGATGTTGATAGTAGGCTAGGCTGTGCTTATGTGGACCAAAGAGTTAAAAAATAAACTCTATTTTTTTAAACACCCGCAGGGCGGCTTATACCTGTAATCCCAGCACTTTGGGAGGCCGAGGCGGGTGATCATTTGAGGTCAGGAGTTCGAGACCAGCCTGACCAACATGGTGAAACCCCCTCTACTAAAAATATTTAAAAATCAGCTCGGCATGGTTGTGCATGCCTGTAGTCCCAGCTACTCAGGAGACTGAGGCAGTAGAATTGCTTGAACCTTGGAGGCAGAGGTTGCAGTGAGCTGAGATCTTGCCATTGCACTCCAGCCTGGGTGACAGAGCAAGACTCTATTTCCAAAAAAAAAAAAAAAAAAAAGCAGCCTGGGAAACATGGTAAGAACCCCATCTCTTAAAAGAACAAAACATTTAAAAAATTAGCCAGGCATGGTGGCACACACCTGTAGTCCCAGTTACTTGAGAGGCTGAGGTGGGAGGACTGCATGAGCCCAGGAGTTTGAGGTTGCAGGGAGCTGTGATTGTGTCACTGCAGTCCAGTCTGGGTGACATAGCAAGACACTGTCTACAAAAAAGAAGAAATCACCTAAGACTATGTTATCCAACTCTATGACTACACAAACCTGTGCTTGGCACATAGAAAAGGCTAAACAAATGCACATCCATGTCAGACAGCTGCTCTCCCAAAGAACTGAGGGAAACAGATCTGAGCGGGTCCTCAGCCGTGATGAGCGGCAAGTAGGAGTCTGGGAGAAAGGGTTAAGTAATGGAAATTTTGGAGGAAGCCTCTACAGAGAAGAAGAGAGTAGGTGCTGTGTCACCAGTTCTGAGGATAAAGTGAAGACTGGTGACTGTTTGCTGCATGGCTGGAGCTGCCAGAGAATAGGAGCAGGCTAGAGCAAAGAACAGAAGAGGCAGAGTGAAGAAAACCAGAAGAAAGGGCAGTGAAACAGAGGCAAACTGCAATGCCCAAAGGTGCCATGGATGCAAGTGTTTTTGAGTCTCAACTGTCGTGGAAGGCAAACTGTCTTGCATGAGCTTTCTCCATGCAAGACAGTGTGCCAAGCCTAACTGAAACGCCTAAATAGGGTTCCTGTCCTACTGAAGCTTCCATTCTAGTGCCAGAAAATGGGTGACAGGGCTTTCCACGGCCCAAGGCCATTGAGTTGCAGAAGTGCTCCATAAACTTCACAACCAATAGGCCCGGGGATCAGAGGAGGGTGAGATCTATCACCATTAGCAGGGAAAAGAGGACCCAGGCAGTGAGTCTCTGAGGCAGGAAGGCAGATGCCAGGAACATCAAAGGGCCATTCATCACCCAAATGCAATGCAAAGGGGAAAACCAGCAAGTGAGATTACGCCACAGGAACCCAGATTGTAATGTCACAGGGAACGAGTCCAAGAGACATTTTAACAGCAATTCAGATACAGGCATTAAAGACTGTGACATAAGATTTAGAAGAGGGGCCATTAATAATTTATTTTGGAAAGAATATGTAGAAGAGGAAAAAAAACACAAAAAAACCCAGCACCCGCTGGTATTACCTGTGTGGTAGTACTATCGCGTAGACCAAGGATAAAAACACATATGTTTACGAATGAAATGGTTGCTGAAGACACCTTGCCCTCTCACACTGGCTGAATGAGAGGTTGGGGAGAGCATGTCATCATTCTGACCATGTGCGTCCACAACTTAGATGAGAGTTGGCATCAGGCACACTTGAGTTGGAAATCCAGCTCTTTCACTTACTAGCTCTGTGACCTTGGGTGAGTTTCTTAATCTCCCTGAGGTTGTTTCTTCATTAAAGGTAAAAAGGGCATAGTAACAGTTATCTTACAGGGCTGTTGTTAGGATTACATGAGATAAAGTATGTAAAGTGTTTTAGAACAGCACCTGGCATAAAGGTTCTGTCAAGGATCATGATGGTGGTGGTGGCCGTTATTCTAAATCTATGTAGACAGCCTTTTCCCATTCCCCCAAGTAGATTTTATCTTCCAAAGGAGCCTTGGAAATTTGCCAGATTAGTTCTGTTGAAGATACTTTAGAATCTCTCTCTTATTCTGAGCTTTCTCCATGCAAGACAGTATGCCAAGCCTAACTGAAATGCCTAAATAGGGGTTCCTGTACTACTGAAGCTTCCATTCTAGTGCCAGAAAATGAGTGGCAGGCCTTTCCATGGCTCAAGGCCGTCAAGTTGCAGAAGTGCCTCATAAACTCCACAACAACAGGCCCGGGAATGAGAGGCGGGTGAGATCTATCACCACTGGCATCATGGAAGAAGGACAATTCACTAGACAGAACGGGTGGACACCAGAGATGCCAAGCCCACACAAACCCTCTATAAATCAGATTTTAAGGACAACTGCAGATGGACAAGTTGTATTTAAATAATCCTGGTCTGGGGCAATTGGTCCGGAGGACACGCTTGACCAAGGTGGCCTGCCATTGGCTGGCCAGAGGAGAAGAGACAGACTGAGCCAGCTTGAAGTCATGTGAAGGGATATGAACTGGGGTATGTGGCAAGACCAGCCAGAAGCTTGGAGGCAGACTCTGAAAAGAAGTCAGGATGCCATGTTGGGGCCACAGCACACTTTAGTTATGAGGAAACCAAAACTGGAAATGAGGCTGGGAGAGAAGCAAAGACATGATGAAAGAGAAATTAGGCAGCCCTTAAGAGTGAGAGGGACCAACTGAGAAAGAATGATAGGAAGACAGTCAGAAGGAAGGAGAGACTGACCCACAGACAGAGTGACTCCTGGACAGACTGGCCAACAGAGACCGACGGAGAGAGAACAAACCTAGCAGGCTGGGCTCCCTTCTTGAAGCCAGGCTGTGTTGGGCACCTGGCTGCTAAGCTGCAGAGTGGGTCTTCAAGAAAGTGGGGTGTAGGCTGGTGTGAGGAGAGGGGGTCAAAGCGGTCATATCTTACCTTTCAAATTTCTCTACATTTTCTTTCACATAATTATAAAAGCAACACACACTCCAGCACATCATCTTTGTTTTCCTTGCTCCGTGCTGTTCTCCAGCCTCCAGGTCACCTGAGTCCTCAGAAAAGCACTGTCACACACACTTCACACTCTGAGAAGCCAAGGACATGTTCCAGAGGAGCTCCGATGGCATTCTGGTAAGAAACATGAGACAGGGACACAAATCACCTACGTCGTTCGAGTATTTTTCAGGGCCTGTTGTTTAGCAGAGGCAGAATAGGGCTGATGTCACAACTCCAGTGTGAGATGAGCTTTGGGGACAGTGAGTAAGAAGAGCTGGCTTTTGCGCCTGCCTTGGCCACAGAACTAGCTCTATGATCTTGAGCAATTGGCTTAACCTATCTGGACATCTGTTTATACATTTGCAAAATGAGGAGGTCGAACTGGATGTCTTCCAAATTTGCTTGCCACGCTCACATTCTAGATGCTGTGATTCTAGGAACCCATGGTTATTTATACATCAGACTTTTTCGCAATGCCCAAACAGTATTAACAGTGTTGCCAGCCATGTCAATAATATTTTATGGATGATATTACGATGAAGTGAATAGGTTATTTATCCTCTCTCAGTACAACCTGTGCTTCCATACAATTCTGACGTGCACAGTAAATCTCTCCTCCTTTGAACTCCCAAAGCATTTCCATCTAGACACCTCTTAGAGGACTCATCACATTCTGCCCTATAGCATGGTTATTCAGAAAAATGCCTTATTGTTCACGACTGAATGTTAAGCTCCCTGAATGCTTCCTGGAAACCCAGCTGCGCAGAGGAGGAGGAATGAGGCTGCCAGGGCTACACTCACCTGGATAACCCCAAGAGTCCAAAATAGTACCTTGTGTGGAATTGATGCTCAACACTTGCTGTGAACAAACACGTAGTTGGAGAGAATGTAAAACGTAAAAGGAATTTGCCAGATGAGTCTAACAAATCTCCCATACTTTGCTTCCTTTGCACCAGGATGGCCAACCTGAAAACTTTGCCAAAATTAGTAAGCCTTGAAGGTGGCCTGCAGTCTCGCTGCTGCTAAAGGGCTTGGGGAGATGATGCCCAATGCAGAGAGAGGAGCAGTTGCTGAGAATGTCAAGAAGCAGAGAAACAGCAGGACACGCATAATCCTAGTCATGGAATGTATTTATGAGATGGCTCTCGATATACAAACAGGGAACGTTATATGGACCTGGAAGAACCAGCCAATCTGATATTGTCTGCTTGATATAACCAGGCAGACAGTTTCTTACCTGAGAAAATGAGAATTAAAAAACAAACAGCATTAGGAGATATACCTAATGTAAATGACGAGTTAATGGGTGCAGCACACCAACATGGCACATGTATACATATGTAACAAACCTGCACGTTGTACACATGTACCCTAGAACTTAAAGTATAATAATAAAAAAGATTTAAAAAAACAAGCAAAAAACGGAGTAACCATAAACAAACAAACAAACAGAAAACGGACAAAAAACGGAGTAGCTATCGAGGACCCTCTCAAGGCAAAGTCCCCTCAAGCCATATTTTCTAATCATCCTGCAAGAAACTTCAGACTGGGGCCCAGTGTGTTCTAACGTGATTTCTTCAGTCCTCTAAATGTGCAGGCAACTCTCAAGCCCTCTGTTCCGTGGGCTTTCCCCACCCAACTCCCCCTGCAGATCCTCTGGGATCCTGTTAATCATCTACTTCCAAACGGCTCCTCCATGTCCTAACCCCTGGCCACCTCTACCCTACCTCCAGGCCTCATTCCCCTGCCTGCCCGGCTGAGGGACACAGGCCTCTTTTGTCACCGGCAATCCCTGCACTTGCTGAGGCCAAGGACCCTGCCTCCTTCCTCCTCCACTGGGGCCCACATCCTGCTTCTCTCCTTCCACCTCAGCAACCCTCCACTCGCCGTCTCACATTCCGGACACCTTCTCCCCTCCCTCATTCCTTTCTTCCATCACTAACGCTGACTCTAGGAAAATGCTCAGTCAGGGATCCAGGAGCGAGTGATTTGGGGTGTCCTGCAGTGCACCACCCAAGCACCTGCTAGTCTGGATTTCTGTGAGCTGAAGTTTTGTTTGTGTTAACTTGCAAGCTCTTTTTTACTTCCCTCCTATGTTGATTCACATTAAAACAGTTACTGAGTTCAAACTTTGGGATGCGGGGGAAGGGAGTTTACCCAGCTGAGGCTGGAGATGGCCAACGGGATGGCCAAAGGGCCTCGAACCTGCCATTCCTGGACAAATGAGTGTCCTCCCCAGCCTGCCTGCCACGGGCACGGGGTGCTGGGCTGCAGCTAGCTTCTTCCCTAAGGACTGCTGGCCAGCCACAGATCTCAGGGCTGCTTGCTTCTGATTGAAAAACTCACAGTACAAACTCCCTCGGACTAGCAGGAAAATGAGAGGCTGTTAAGTACCGAGACCTCTGTGAATCGTGCTAAGAATCCTCTGTCACACGGCCCTAGTGTGCTGAAACAGGCTAGAAAGGCCAGTCTTACAAGAGTTAAATCAAGGCCACATCACCGGCCTGCTGCTGCAGATCTGACAGGAACAGGACGTTCTAGAATGGCTCCACCCTGGAGCCTCAATCCATCAATCCCAGCACAGAATACCCAGCACCAGGCTCTGACGGCCGCCCGCAGACCCCCTCTCTCACCTCTCTGCCAGGCTCCTGCTTTGTCACCAGGCTCCTAATTAGCTACGGAAACAGCACACACTTTGCATTGCGTCACTTGCAACTCTCCATGTCCCCCACATCAGCATGCATGGCACAGACAGCCCGTGAGTTCAGAAAGACACAGCCTAGTGCCCCAGTTGGCTATTGCGTATCATCCGTCTTGATAACTGGCATATGCTCAGGTGGCCACGCAGGTTGTGTCTAAAACATCTGGCCAGTTGTTGATCTCCCCAGATGCGTGGCAGTTGGCAGCTCTGTCCTTGTCTCCCTTTAGCCTCCTACAAAAAGTAGTCCGGCCCCTCCCCTAGCGTTCCTTCCTCACGCAGTGTGGAAATCAGTTTCTGGCAGCCTGGCCGCAGCTGCCCCAGCCTGGCCCCTCTTCACAGCCCACCTGCCCCTCCACCAGTCATCCCCACGTGTGCAGCCACATCCATTTCTGTCCTGGCACCTTCCATCAGTAGATTTATCTCTGTCAAGTGCTCCTGCCAAGCTTTTTTCCAAGGACTGCCTTAAGTACAGCAACAAGTAGACACTACCCAGAGTCTCCCTGACAGATGCTGGATGAGTCTTCTGACCAGGTAGTTTGTGTTTTAGCAAGAGGAACCCAAATTTCAAATTCCCTTCCTAGCTGGTATTTCCCTTCCTGAAATACAAGGGCTCCCCAAGCACTTCTCCCTGACTGATCCATTTTTCTGCCTTACCGATGTCTACAACTTTCCTACCTCCCACCCCCGTGAATTCCTCCAACACAGCTCCGTCGATCACGTCATATTTGCCTTCTAAATCACAACCCAGAATTTTCAGAAAATTTCCGTGACTTCATTGCAGGCTGCTCTTTGCAATCTCTTTTTTCCTTTGTGATTCTGCCCACCGCTGCTGGTGCCCACCTAATTCCTACCCTCACCCTCCCTGGAGAAGCACTTGGTGCTGATGGCGGAAGTGAAGATGATGATGGTGATGAGAGCTAACATTTACTGGGCATTGATATTGCACCAGGCGCTGTTCTAAGCACTTTACATATAAGATTCACCAAGTCTTCCCTCTGCATCTTATTTTGGTTTTTCTGAACTCTTACCTGAGAAAACTACCAGAGTGAACAGAGGAGGGAAGAAGCCATAATAGCCAATCAGATCAATATCAATATCTCTGATGTCCTAATTTGGCATGTTTTATGTTCTTTATCCCTCTATCTATAACTCCCACATATTCGGGCCTATGTCTTCTTGGTCCTGAACATATAACCTTGCTTTTAAACTAAGAAGTAATATTTCATTTTTAAAAACTGCATGTTTTTGTAAAGGAAACATTGAATTTCCAATGGTAAATCAAGAGAACACAGATTTGGGATAAGAATGATACATGTTTTTAAGTCCTGCCTCTGCCAATTACTAGCTTTGTGATTCTGGTGTATTTCTTGCTTTTTTTTAATCTTTTTTTTTTTTGAGACGGAGTCTTGCTCTGTCACCCAGGCTGGAGTGCAGTGGCGTAATCTCGGCTCACTGCAGGCTCTGCCTCCCGGGTTCACGCCATTCTCCTGCCTCAGCCTCCCGAGTAGCTAGGACTACAGGCAACTGCCACCACGCCCAGCTAATTTTTTTGTATTTTTAGTAGAGACAGGGTTTCACCATGTTAGCCAGGATGGTCTCGATCTCCTGACCTCGTGATCCACCCGCCTCGGCCTTCCGAGACTTGGTTTCATTATGTATAGAATGAAAACAATACAGACCTTGCAGATTTTTGAAAACTGCAGGAAGCAATGTTTGCAAAGTACCTACCCTACTGCTCTGCACCTAATAGATGCTACAGAAATACCTCGTCCTCTTCTAAAAGGATGTCTATTGTCTAAGTGTAGCAGGTGGGTATGAAAGGCACAGATTTCTCTGCAATACTTTTCTCAGTGCAACATCTTTCCCAGAAACCAGGGGAAAATTCCTCATGTGACATGCAACACAAAAAGTCACCTTGTCCATAGCATACCAGAGCTAACAATTGTTATGCATTCTGCTCCAGGCAAATTGCAGCCCTAAAATCTTCCTCTACCCTCTACTTCCCTGGAGTCTCTCAGTGAGTTTACTTTGAGATCTGTATTAGGCTGTTCTCACATTGCTATAAAGAACTACCTGAGACCAGGTAATTTACAAAGAAAAGAGGCTTAACTGGCTCACGGTTCTGCAGGCAGTACAGCAAGCAGGATGCTGGCATCTGCTCAGCTTCTGATGAGGCCACAGGAAATTTACAAATATGGTGGAAGGCAAAGGGGAAGCGCACACTTCCCACGGCCAAAGTAGAAGCAAGACGGGCAGGCAGGGAGGTGCTACCCACTTTTAAACAACCAGAACTCACTCTCATGAGAACAGCACCGTCGGGATGGTGCTAAACCATTCATGAGAAAACCACCTCCAGGATCCAATCACCTCCCACTAGGCCCCACCTTTAACACAAGGAATTACAAGTCAACATGAGATTTGGTGGGGACACAGTTCCAAACCGTATCAGGATCCTCAATAGGATTTTGTCTTCTGACTTGTTCACCAGGCTCCATGTCTTGTCGGCCTGAGAACACTTCAGGGTGGTGGGCACTTGAGGAAACAAGCTTTGCAGCAGTGGCCCCCAAGATATTGTCGACAGATGGACCGTCAGCATCAACATCATTTGGGAGCTTGTCAGAACGCAAGTTCTCAGGCCCTACTCCAGACCCACTAAATCAGGGAGTCTGGAAATAGGGCCCAGAAATCTGTGTTTTCACAAACCCTCCAGGCGATGCTAATGAAGGCTCAGGGTTGAGAACCTCCACACCGAATAAGTGGTGGCAGTTCCAGCAATGTGACTGCAGATCAAAGCATCCAGCCTCTGGAGGCACACTGCCAGCTGCCTCCACAGGGAAGGCCACTCACCATGGAAGGGAGTCGCCGTGTCTCCTCACAGAGGCGTCCTTCTCCCCACACAGCCTGCCTAGCGTTTCCCCTGCTGCTCTGGCTTAGGACAGACAGCACACCTGAAACAGATACCTGCAAGCCCAACCCAGGTGCTCTGTTACTGCTCAAACACAAGGTTTGGAATCTGTTCTCCCAAACACCACTCTTTCCTCATCCTGAGACGGAGGAAGCACCTCCAACTTGCACCTGGTTTATTCTCACTAAGCATGGAGTGGAACAGATAAACCAAAGGCGTTATCAGTCACCACCCAGTCACCCACACTCTCTCAGGTGAAGCTGTGTCTTCCACAGTCCCAGGAGCCTGGCTAACCAGTTACAATTCTCCCGAGTCAGCAGGAAGCAAGGAACAGGAAAGGTCAGCGCTCAGAGCTCTGGCTGTAATTAATAACCCAAAGGACATATCCCAAACGCCCTTCTTCCTCCATAGAAAATGCTCCTTTTCAAGTGCTGTGGTTTGAATGCTTCTGTCTCCTCCAAAAGTCATGTTGAAACTTAATCCCCTCCAAAATTCAGCTGTTGCCAATGCGATAGTATGAAGAAGGGGGCCTTTAAGAGGTGCTCGGGCCATGAGGTCTGCTCCCTCATTAATGGAATTAAGGCCCTTTTAAAAGAGGTTTCATAAAGTTCAGCTAGGTGCGCCCTTGCCCTTCTGCTTCCTGCCATGTGAGAATGCAGTAAGAAGGCCCACGCCAGATGCCAGTGACTTAATCTTGGAGTTCCCAGCCTCCAGAACTGTGAAAAATACATTTCCATTCTTTATAAGTTAGTCTGTGGTATTCTGTTACAGCAACACAAGTGGACTAAGGCATCAGGATTGTGGAAGAGGCCAGGCACAGCAGGTGTGGTGGCTCACGGCTGCAACCCTAATACTTTAGGAGGCCAAGGCAGGGGACCACTTGAGGACAGGAGCTCAAGACCGGCCTGGGCAACATAGCAAGACCCTGTCTAAAAACATATATGTTAAACATTTAGCTGAATGTGGTGGTGTGCACCCGTAGCCCTAGCTTCTAGGGAGGCTGAGGTGGAAGGATCGCTTGAGCCCAGGAGTTTGAGCTGTAGTGAGGTATAGTGGCACCACTGCACCCTAGCCTGGGCAACAGAGTGCGATCCTGTCTCTAAAAAACAAACAAAAAAGGATTACAGGTGACCTCTTCACCCAAACCCAATGGATTTGACTGTCAGTAGCGCCACCTTCCCTCCTGCCTCCAACCTAACCTCCAAGGCCTCTGTCTTCCTCTGACTCACCACTCCCCAGCCCTGCCCCACACTCTGGCTGCCTATGGCTTTGCTTCATATTCCAGTCCAGAGGAACTCACACTCCATGTTTGTAACTACCCAGGGGGGTAGCTCAGGAGCCCGGAGTTTTGACTGGAAAGGAAGTGACGAGGCCGGCACAAGACAACGTGAGCGAATCATTGAAATGATTCTGTTCTGTTAACTCTGGAAGTCACGAGGCTTTTTTAAATCAGGAAACTTGAGAACTAAAACCTATGGAAGCGGACAATGTAGCCGACAGGGAAGGTGGCCACCTTCCTGCTCTGGCTCCTACATTTCCCACTCACTAAGAAACTCCGCCCCAGACCTCCTCCTCCTCCTCGGCGTTTTCTCCAGTTCCATGAGCCGCCAGCATCTTTCCAATTAATTAAGTAAACCTGAGTAGGTCTCTTGCCTGCGAAGAGTCTGATGGATAACCCCTTCTCAGAACACCGCTCAACTCCCAGCTCCTCCTCAAAGACCCACACAGACCCCTCTCAGACCCCCTTCACCTCTCGTTTCGGCCTCACTGATCATCTCTCACCTAAGGTAACACCAGGCATTCTATACCACGTGTGCATGGCTATGAGGCATCATGAAAACCCTGCAGCATCAAAGGGACCTGCATTTCAATACTGTCTAACCAGGATTTAACTCTCTGCCTGGGAGATGCTATTTAACTTACCTTCCGAATGCACTTCCTGGGGATAATGAGCAACAAATGCAAGGAGCCCAGTCCACTCTCAACCAAATGCTACATACACAGCCAGTGTCCCTACCTTCCCTAACTACTTGATGTCCCTTTTTAGATGGATGGTTCTTCTTGAGGCAAGGACTACGGTGTTTACCTCTGTATCTAAGCATGTAGGAGGTGGGCTTTGTCTTTGGTGTTGTCATCTCATGCCCAATCCTAATCCCAGCTATTCCCTGTGGAATCAGCAGGAGCACTTTGACATTCAGTGATGATGGTATTAATGACTATAATTGTATTTGCCGTGAGTTGTATTTGGAGCAAATGTCTCTAACTGTATTTTTTAAAGTTTTGTTTTGGTTGCTATTCTATTAATATGCAGGTCCACAAAAGCTAAGAACTAGAAGAAAAAACCTACAAGAAATCAGAAGCAGGATGAAATTCTTCCCAAGTGTTTAATCACCCCTAGAGTCATGTTATGCTTCATCATGACCTAATCTTTCTTGCTGAAACTTCATCTCATTTTCTATGACATTCTACATTTTCATAATATACTTTAGATAGTCTCCAAGCTACTTTTCAGCTTTTATCTCCAGCTTCTTTTACATTTTTCTCATAGCAGTTCATAGTAAGTACTCTGCTAAGCACTTTGCATATATTTTACCTTAATTCTTATAAGGATTTATGAGTCTCTCCTATACTATATAAACATTATAAACAGTATTATTATCGCCATTTTATAAATGAGTAAGCTGCAGCTTAGAGGTCATGTACCTTGCCCAAGGTCATGCGACAAGTAACTAATGGTGTCAGCATCTGCACCTGAGTAGTCTGACCCCAGCGCACAGACTGCATCAGAGATTCCATAACTTCCATAACTTTTAAGGTTTTAATGTTCTTATTGGCCTTTCTCTCATTTCTCTTTATCCATCATGACAAATGTACACCCATATTGATAAGAACTATCCTGATGGTAAGAATGGGAAAAAGACCTTAGTGTCCACGAGGACCATGTTTACAGCACAGAATACTAATGAAGAGGCATCAAAAAGAACCCACCTCATGCAATTAAATAACTGCAGGAATTACTGGACAAAGACTTGTGGCAGCTAGAACCTCAAGCCAACGCCTGACACTAAAGAATCTTTGTTTGTAATTAACAATAACTCTGATTTCACGAGCAGCTATGATGTGCTTTTTAGCACAAGGCACCCTGCAGATGGCTCTTGTAGATGAGAAAAAGAGAATTCAGAGTCATTAGGTGACTTGCTCACAGTCATGTAGCCACAAGTGGCAAATCTGGTACCTGTTTTATTTTGACCTCTGTTTTGGCCCAGAGCCTGCGCTGACCACATAGTCTCCAGAACCCAATACTATCACCTGATGGCCATGGGCGACGCCCCTCGACTATCTCAGACACTTGGTGGGAGAATGGTCAGCACACCCTCTCCCCATAACATAAACAATTCTTTCATGCCACCTCCGCCCA